GCGTGTTCACGCGGGCAGCTGTCACGTGGACATGAGTGAGAGCGCTAAAAACAAATGCTGAATTTAAAACTTTTTAAAATCCTGAATCAATATTTGAGTTACTTTGCACTCTGGAGGAAGGACAACACCGTGGCTGAAGTATTATTTTTAGACAGGTAATGTTCCGTTTTAAAACCATTTTACTCGCGCAAAGCTGATGTAGATTGTGTTGTTTTACGAATGGGTTATATACACAGAAGTTGTTCAGCCACTGAAATCTTCTAGCGAATGATTGATGCGACTATTTTCAGTTTCATAAGGAACCTTTTGCAGCATCGATAATGTAGACTTATATTTAGTTTGACAACAAAACAGAATAGCTCTATTCCGCCTAGCCTGCTTTACTAAGGGGAGGTTGCTTTTATATTCACATTGGTTCATTTTTGAACAATGACGACCTGTGACACACTCCATATATTGTTTAACGTGCTTCTCTGAATATTCGGTCTGAAATAGCAAGTAAGCATGGTTTAGTAATAACTCTCTCTCTCTGTCTCTTTCCTTCTCGCCACTTCTCGCTCTTATTCTTTCTGTGGGTCTCTGTGAGGACAGTCTCTCTTGCGAGGGCTAGTCTGAGAGAATGTGTTTTGCTTGTTTAATGCTCTTGTCTAAAGTTTGCGATTTAATAATGCAATATATTTGCTTTTGAACTTGTCCAGTTAACTGACATGTTTGAGTGATACCTCGGAAAGGTGTAGGAGTAAGTCGCGCGATATACATATACAACACTCAGATTTATATTTTGTATTAGTTCACTAGGTTCAGGAGAATGTGCTGTTTTCTGTATGTTTTATTTTTAGTTAGAGCAGTTTAGTTAAGACGTTTGGTACGTTGAAGATGTTTCTTTTCATGCTTTTCATATTTAGTTTAGTTTGGTGAAAACAGTTACTGAGTTTTGTTATATTTATTTCTTTGATTTAAGCACATTCAACTACTTCCTCTCCCCCCAGGTAATTCATTATTTAATCATTGTAAATATTTTTCTTTCACTGTATAATATATTTTCACTGGTTTCATTGGATGTATGGGCAATAAATAATTGCAGTGATATTTGGTTTTCAGTTTATTTCTTTCTCCATCCGCTTGTCACACACATTAAACTAATGTATGTTATGTCATCTACTCCTAGTTTAATATTAACATCTAAAAGGACGTAACAGTGTAATTCCTGCACGCCGCCAGCCAATCACTAAGCATACAGTAGGCAGACGAGAGTGAAACCAGCGATCCTTGCATGCATGAAATATTGCACATTATGACAACTTTTGCTAACTACACAACTGAAAATGTGCTAGAGATAATACAGCTTTTCATTCAGACTTGTAGTATTATATAATACTATAAAGTTTTCTAACTGGCGAATGACATGATCTAGTGCAGGGGTGTCAAACTCAATTCCTGGAGGGCCGAAGCCCTGCACAGTTTAGTTCCAACCCTGCTCCAACACACTTACCTGTAGGTTTCAAACAAGCCTGAAGGACTCAATTAGTTTGGTCAGGTGTGTTTAATTAGGGTTGGAACTAAACTGTGCAGAGCTGCGGCCCTTTTGGAACTGAGTTTGATACCTGTGATCTAGTGGGTCTCTGTCATCTTTAATGTGCGCATTTGCGTGACTTCGGGAGGCGTGGCTTTGGATAGCAGGGGAGGGATTGTATTTGATTCTATTGCATAGAAATTGTATTACTATGCTAACCGGGTAGCATGTAGGCAGATCACCTACTGCACCTTTAACTGTTGTCTAGCATTGTATGAAATCACTAAGAATCAGTCAGGGAAAAAAAAGAAAAAAGAAAAATAAGGTAATCTACATTTTGTATAGACTGAGGGCAAGTTAGTTCATCTAAAGACTACTGCTTTAGCACTATATGTTTTGCAAACTGGTTTTGAAGATAATATGAATATAAAAAATGCTAATAAAATATTGCAGAATGTATAAAGCACACACATACAACTGTTTGAACTGTAAAACTAGACTGAAGCAACTGCACATGTCAGAATGAATTATCTCTTTAAGAGCAAAACACTGGAAATGCTGACTCAACAGAGAGACAGAGAGAAAGTTGCCGCATATCAATGTAAACAGCTGCAGGAGGGAAAAAAAAGAAAAAGTCAGTTTTGTGGGTGAAAAGGTCTGAGTTTCCCTCAAGTTGCTCGAGTGAGTTTTATGATGACTGTCAGTGATACTGGGCCATAAAAGACCAAATGGATAATTACTGTACAATGCAGAGGTTTGTTTAGGAAATCTGCCTGGATCTTAAAAATTTACAGTCTTTCAAAGATTTAAAACCATGAAAGATCTTAGTAAAATATGCTAAAACAAAGTGATTGAATGAGGCCATTAGTAATAAAAATGTAGTAAAAAAGTAATTAAAAAAAAGAAAAAAAAGATACGCCACTGACAAAAGTGTATAATATAATTTATAATATTATATAACAATAATATAATGCATATTCTATGCGTTTGTGGTGAATTTAATATTCTGCAAATAAAATGTGTAATTTACAAAATACAGTTTCAGCATAGAGAATGTGTCTATCATGTTACAATTTACTATAATGCAGTATTTCTATCTGTAAATGTGCTGAAAACTATTTTAGAAAGCAGATAGGTAGTGTGATCAAAAAATGAATGAATTAAAATGAATTAATAAAATATGAATGAACAGTTTACCAACATCATGTTTTAAAGTAGTTAACATTAGTAACATGAATGAGCATGTTGTTAACGTGTTAGCATTATGCTGACATAAATAAACATGTTTGCATGTTTCTAGAAAAATAATACTGCCAGCATGAATTAGCAAGCTGCTAATGAAGTTAGCATTTTACTAACACAAAATACCATGTTGATGCTTCTAGAATAGGGACCAAATTATTAGCATAAAATAGGTAGCTAACATACTTGGCATATAGTCATAGCTAAATAGCTAGATTAAGACCTGAAGGCCTTGAATTGAGTGAATGAGAGTTAAATGCACTGCAAGAATCTCCATTTAAAAGTTTTCAACCCCTCCATAAAAACCATACAGGATTTTATAAAGATTTGATGGCCTGTTTTACTAAAAAAAATATTAATCAAAAAAAAGTTTGAAAGATATGGCCTAAAATTCAGATCAGTCTGAAGGTCTGAACCAAGTTTGGTGGTTTAAATTTGGTGGTTAAAATTTAGTCCCAAAGGAAGCAGCAGCATGCTAGGCTTTCAAGCTAACATAAAAAGCTACAATCCTGTTTTTTTATTTTATTGGTTCGTTTTACTACAAAAAAAGCTCGATTAAATCGAACCAAACCACACAGTGTTGGTACTAAACACTTTGAATGTCTGCACAGAAGCATCACTTGACTTAGCATGGGTTAACATGTTGATGTTTCTAGAATAGGAATCAAATTGTTAGCATGAAACAAGTTGTTAGCATATCCTAGGCAAGTTCTTATTTTCTACTCATAGCTAAATAGCTAGATTAAGATCTGAAGGTCTTGAACTGAAAGAATGTAGGTTCAATGCACTGCAAGATTCACAGTGTAAAAGTTTTCACCCCCTCCATAAAAGCAGTACAGGATTTTGTATAGATTTGATGGCCGGTTTTACAAAAAAATATATGAAACCAGTTATAAAATATGAAATCAGTTAGAAAAGATATAGCATAACAATTCAGATCAGTGTGAAGTTCTGGGCCAAGTTTGGTGGTTGTAACTTAAACTCTAGAAGGAGATGGGTTTTGAAATTTGGTCCCAAAGGAAGCAGCAGCATGCTATGCTCTCAAGCTAACATAAAAAGCTACAATACTGATTTTTATTTTTTTTTGCTACATAAAAAGCTCAATTTAATCAAACCAAACCCCAGAGTGTTTATACTAAACACTTTTGAATGTCTGCACCGACACATCACTTGACCTGACTAGAAACATCAACATGTTAACTCATTTTATCAAAGAGTTAGCATAAAATATGTTGTAAGAATATCCTAGGCTAGTTCTTATTTACTAGGCATAGCTAATTAGCTAGATTAAGATCTAAAGACCTTAAACAGAGTGAATGTAGGGTAAATGTACTGCAAGATTCACTATTTAAAAGTTTTCAGCCCCTCCATAAAGCCATTTAGAATTTTATATAGATTCAAGGGCCTGTTTTACAAGAAATATAAAGCCAACCAGCTTGAAAAGACAAAGGTTGAAAATTCAGATTAATCTTAAGGTCTGAACCAAGTTTGGGGGTTGTAACTTGAAAACTCTAGAAGGAGATGGGTTTTAAAATTTGGTCCCAAAGGAAGCAGCAGCATGCTATGCTCTCAAGCACACATAAGAAAAAGTTACAATACTGATTTTTTTACTACATAAAAAGCTCAATTTAATCAAATCAAAACCCCAGAGTGTTCATACTAAACACTTTTGAACGTCTGCACAGGAGAATCACTTGACTTAACATGGGTTAACTTAATTAATTAATTAAACTTAATTAGTTAATGTTTCTAGAATGGGAATAAAATTGTTAGCATGAAATAAGTTGCTAGCGTATCCTAGGCTAGTTCTTATTTTCTACTCATCGCTAAATAGCTAGATAAAGATCTGAAGGCCTTATACTGAGTGACTGTAGGTTAAATGCATGGCAAGATTGACCAATTATAAGTTATCACCCCTCCATAAAAGCCATATAGCATTTCGGATAGATTTGATTGCCTGTTTTACAAAAAAATATGAAACCAATCGGTAAGAAAAGACATAGATTAAAAATTAAGAACATTTTGAAGGTCTGAGCCAAGTTTGGTGGTTGTGACTTAAAAACTCTATGAGAAGAAAGGTTTTGAAATTTGGTCCCAAAATAAGCAGCAGCATGCTACACTCTAAAGCTAACAGTTACAATGCTGTTTTTTACTACATAAAAAGCTGAGTTAGATCAAACAAAACCCCCACAGTGTCATTACTAAACGCTTTTGAATGCCTGCACAGAAGCATGACTTGACTTACATTGTGAACGACTGAATCCACAGCGTTGGTGAGTTGGTCTGAAGTCACAGGGTCAGTCATGGCTGCCGTCAGGACACTGTGAACCCGCTGAACAACACTCGTTTCCGCACAGCCTTTAGCCTTTCTCTTTCTCACTGAGACTCAGGCAGGAGTTTACGGGCAGCATAACCTGTCAACAATTAAATGCCATGTTAATTCCCAATTATGGTACACAGGTCAAACTTGTTATTCAGTGTGTTTAAAGACAACAATATAGTGCTCCATTTACTGCTCAAATGGACTTAAACTACAACATAATAGTCCCTCATATCCAAAGACTGATAACAACCTGATAAAAAAAGCTGCTACTGTGAGGACACGAAGATAAGAGACTTGTGTTTGAAAATAACCATAAAGTATTGGAAGTACTACTTGAAGAATCTTTATCTCTTATATCATTCAGAGCAGTTGTGTTGAGCTTGCAAACCTAATTTATTGGTTCATAATAATAATAGAATAACAAAACAACCTTACTAGTAATTAAATTGGCACACAAACAACCAAAATCACTAAAACTTTAATATAGTCATGACCAATGCATGATGCATTACAATATGGAGTTACTCCCCAAAAAAGTAGCTAGTTGAGTTACTTGGTTACTTTTTATGGTAGTACAGCATTACGTTACCTTTGAGTAGGCCCACACAGAATCTGCGCGCTTAGAATTCTGCAGATTTTTAGCCCTTTATTAATTCCGTTTATTTACTTGAGTAAATGTGTGTAAAGATAAATTTATTCAGTTTTTAAATTACAGTAATAGTATTGACTAATATGAAAATGTTGTTATTCTGATATATGTACACCAGTTTGTAAAGTAATGTTTTCTGTCTTTTAGTAGATTTATTATATGAGAGACTTGCTTTGTTTACCAAATTAAGTGAATCTAATTGGATTTGCATTTTAAACATTAAATAAAAGTTAAAATTATATATATATATATATATATATATATATATATAATTTTATTTATTTATTTATTTTTTTTTTTTTAACTTAAGGTTTTAGTTATGATACTCCTAAAATCATTCCACAGAAATCTGCAGATTTTTACCAAAGTTTTCCGCAGAAATGGCAAAAAACGTCCGCAGATTCCATCTGGCCCTACTTTTGAGTTACGTTTGCATTACTTTTTTTTTACATGGCTGAGGTTTGATCTCTTTCAGAACTTGATTTCTTTTTCTTTTTTTAATAGAGGAGTTCACACTGTACAATAACACACTGTATAATCTACACCTACATATACATGAAACTTTTTTAAAAAACAAAACAAACCAGATAATGTTATCTGAGAACTTCCTGACCCCAGAGCTCTACATGCGACATATACAGATTGTTGAAGGTTTAAAGCAATGTGTTAGCTACTTTTAGCTACTATTTGTCTTAGGTTAAATCACTGTCCATTAAGACTATCCCTTTCCTTTTCTTTCGATGCGTTCAAAATAATGAACACATTCTCTTATTGACTGTGTGATTCATTATGACTACTTTCATTTTAATCCGGCAATTTCTTCTTTAAAAGCTAAATAAACCTCCGCAACTGCATCGAATGTTCCAAAATGATGCAGTTAAATCATTTGAACAATTAGGAAATTAATTTTCGCTCCCAAAATATAAATTTTTTAGATGCTCGCAACTTCAAAATTTCCTCACAAAACAAAAAGATATACAAAGAATTAAAAACCCTTCTACAATAGAACAGTTTCTAAAAGATATATAAAATGGACATGAGACCAATAATTTTTTTTCTAAAGGTTACTCAATATTCTTATCTAAGAATACAAATAACACCTTACAGGTAAAGGAGAAATGGTAGACTGAAATGAACAGAATAATTTCTTTGGATACTTGGGAGGAAGTTTGCAGTGAAGTGCATTTTGTGATCAATTCCAATATCTGGAGAGAATTCAAATGGAAGGCTATAACTAGATTTTTCAGAACTCCACAAATAATTTCAAAATGAAACCATTCCTGCTCTAACAATTGCTGGAGAAATTGTGGTCAGAATATTGGTAACCACACACATATTCTGTGGTCATGTCCTAAATAAAGTAACTATTGGAAAGATGTATTTAATGCCCTTAAGGAAATCTTCCATTATGAATTTTCTGAAGACCCCACAGTTGCTCTGCTAGGTGTATGCCCTGAGGGCTTTGATGGCAGATCAAAAATGTACTCATTACAAATCTTAATTGCTGCAGCTTTGAAGTGCATCACATGCAGATGGCAATATTCTGAACCTCCATCATACAATGCTTGGATTCAAAAAGTGTGGGAACTGTATCAAATGGAACAAATAACATATCCATTACGACTTCAAAAAACAATTTTCCTAAAGAGATGGTCTCCAGCCATGCCTCTAATACTTCAATTATGAGCCATACTGAACTCTGCGAACTTTTTTCTTTCTTCCTTTCTTCACTTTATCTTTTATTTATTCATTTTTTTCTTATTTATTTTTTTAATAAAAGACAGAACATTTTTTATACACCAACAATTATAATAATGATTATATGTCCTAAGGATGCTTTTTGTTCTGTACATGTATTTACAACCATTTTGGTAGATAGAAATCCATGGTCTAACATGTAAAACACTGTTACACTATATTGTACTTCATGCAGTGATGTATTCGCTAACAAAAATAAGTGAAAAAAAACTAATTAAACTAAAAAGTAACTCAAATGACATTTTTAAAACAGTAACTCAAATATTATTAATTATTTTTAAAAAGTAATGCGTTAATTTACTCAAAAGAAACGCAAAGAATAAACTGTGTTGAGGTTTAACTTTTACATTTCAGAACCTCAGCACTCAAATCCTGCCTTTGTCTAGTCATCTATACGTTAGGCCTGTCACAATCAATCTATCGACTAATTACACAACAAATGGACATGACCCTTAATCATTTATGATGATGCAATATACAGTATAACGTGTTAACACTTACCTTTTTGTTAACATTTATATTTATTTATTTATTTATTTATTTATTTATTTATTTATTTATTTAAGGATATACGTTTTCACAATCTGATACCAATGCCTAATTATTAAATTGTAAAAATTACTATAATTAAATGAAATGTTCTTAGGAATAAAATATAATGTGTTCTTTGGAAGAGTGTACTTGCATTATTATGCTATTATAGTGTTAAAATGGTCTTAAAATGATGATAATTGTCAGCGCAATAGCCTAGTGATTAGCAAGCTGACATATGGTGCAGTAGCACTTCAGGGCATCCCGAGTTCGAATCCTGGCTCGTAGACATTTCCCGTCCCTACCCCTCTCTCTCTCCCACTTCGCTTCCCGTCTGAAACACTGTCCTATCTGCTTAATAAAGGCAAAAAGACCAAAAATAATAAAATAAAATAAAAATAATGATAATTGTTTAAATAGCAATACATTTTGGTGCTATATATATCGTACCACAAAAAAAAAAAATAGATATCAATACATGTTATAACACAGTTACATTGAATACAACAATTGTGTTTTAATTTAAGCTCTTAAGAAAAACTGGGTTCGTGGCAAACCTTGAAGGCAGTGTTAAATTCAGCAGTGAAATGTCCCACTTCCAACCTCAATGCAGTCCAATCACTTAGAATAAAAGTTCTCAATGTGAAATGAAACTTTTTCATAACATTTCGTTAAAAAAAGTGTGAAAATACTGACCGTATTTGAAAACTAAATGAAAAAGTAACACTATGTATTGTTCAATAAACCCAGTATCTCATTATTAGTAGGATCCCCTCACTTTCTTTTATTTTTATGTTTCCATGATGTAGCTTCTATGCTAATCTTAGTGAAGCAGAATTAGCCACCATCTATCAAGTGACATCAAATGACACGTCTTGTTTACATCTGACAAAGCAGTTTAGACATTATTTTCAAGCAGTAAGTAGAAACAAATCCTCATTTAAACTGCAATACAGCATGAAACTTAAAGTAAAACATCCTAACAGAATGATCATCAAAACCTTTTCAAATGTCTACCATGATAAAATTAGATTGCAAAACATTAAGGCTTAAATAATAGTAATGCGCATTAAAAAAAAAAACCCAAAATAAATGAAATAATAAATAAAATACTCAGCAAAAAAAAAAAAAAAAAAACACCAAATAAAGTAAATCAAGTCAGTACACATTGAGCATAATCAAGAATAAGTTTCAATAGGAATAAAAGTAATGTCAAAGAACTTGACCTTACCCGAAGAGAAACATGAGTGAAACTGTGGTAAAGTTAATGCAGTTGACTCTTATATGACAAGAGGCACATTTGTGTTAAAATTGTTGGACATGCCCAGTTACTCAACTCTGATGCCAAGTCTAAGTGCAAACCACCCTTATATTAAAAAATACATAAAACATGTTGTTCTATTCATCTTGCAACACATTTCTAAGAGACACGGCCGTACTATCTTTAAGAGGCACCTAAATATAGAGCACACTATACTGTAATGTTGCAATGTCTCGTTAGAAGCTAATATTAGTTAAAAGCTGATATATAAAAAATAAATAAATAATGTACTTTTTTGGAAGGTCAGTGAAATTAGCAACTGAAGAGGGACTTTAAATCAAAACTTGTGCTAAAAAATATGACCCTTAAAAGATTTTGGTGTCATTTTACATAAAAAAATAAAATAAAATAAAAAAAAATAAATAAAATTACAGTGCAGGAAAGAAAAAGTATTAAACACGTCATGTTGTTTTTTTATCTGGAATAATATTTCTAAAGAAGCTGTTGACATGGAACTGAACCAGAACCAAAAACCCAAACAATACAAACATAAAACTAAACAAAAAAATTAAATAACTATGAAATGACACAAGGAGAAAGTGCTGAACTACTGAAACGTATTTAACACTTTATATTAAAAGCCTTTTTGGTGATAATGATGCCTCTCATATGGAAAATGAAGTGACATGAATTGTCAAACCTGATCTTTATTTTGTATTTTCTATTGTATTGAAGGTATGTGGTTGTCTGGGCCATTCTACAGCTTGATTTTCTTTCTCTGAAAGCATTTGAGAGTTTCCTTGGCTGTGTTTAGATCATTGTCTGGCTGAAATGTCCAATCTTTTTCAATCTTCATCATCCTGTTCATGTAGATGTTTGACTGAAGCAGTTA